TTACATTTTTCCAAAAATCTCACCTGTCCCATATTTCAGCCTGTGTTTAACAACATGTTCAAGCTTTAGAGTCCCGTGCACTATAGTTAGGTCCAGCTGTATTTTCCTAGATGTGGTATTTTTAAGCTTCCCTGTGAAGCATTGCTTGGCTGATTGCTTCTGAAATGGGGGCCACCCTGAAAGAAAAAGGGAAAGCCAGCCCCAGTCCATGCCCAGCAAGGGTTACCCAAGCGAGCGGCACAGGTCGTACTGCTCCGCCTGGACACCTCCAAGCTGCAGCACAGCTCCTGCCTGCATTGTGGGAAACAAAATTTTTAAGCATGTTTTACAACAGACCTATATCTAAAAATAACATGGTTAGACACCTCCCACACACACTCAAAATATTGATCTTTAAGCTTCAAAAACACAGGGATTTCCTACGTGGGCTAGAGAATAACCTCTGGTAGGGAAGCCCAATACAAATCTGAGACCGTGATGCTTGTTACGGGCATTGAGCAGTGAATCTTACTGGGAACCTCTTCCTGGTATTTTTGCTTCTGTTCAAATGCACGCTCCTGCACAATCCCAACAACCTTGCTGGCCTCTTGAAAATCCTATTCCCAGATGTGTTTGGCACAGAAATAAATGAGTAGAGGCTCAGAACAAGAAGGAACATTAGGAATAGACTGCAACATCACTTAAAATTTCCATTACAAGTTTTTCAACCTCCAGGTAACTCTAATTTACACCAGGGACTGGGGAATGGAATGATTTCTGCCATTAGCCCAGGATCCCTGCTGCATGCAGAAACCTGCAGCTCCAAATCCAGACCCCTATGTTATTTATCTTTATTTAATTTTCTCTAGGGTTTAACAGGAGCAGCAAGGAAGCTTATCGCCGTACCATGCCTTGCAAGGACAAGTGGCACGTGGGAATGTGCCTACTGAAAACATGAGGGTCCGCAGGACAGTAGCTGGAAGAGACCCACGTCCCTCATTTCAGCATCTCATCCGGAGATGCACGCCGAGATGAACATCCCCGCGTTGGGAGCCCAGACCCTGCCCAGAGATGCAGCAGCTGCCCGCTGTGCGGGTACCCTGTCTATATGCACACATAGGCAGTTTGTGTCGGTGCCTGCTCCGTGCGTGGTTTGCCCGCTCACCATCTCACCCACTCCCCTGGGCACCGCCGTTGCGAGCTGCGTGGGGGGATTGCCGCACCTCCCTAGTGCAAAAATAAATGCCAGGTCCCAGTCACACATGCGCTGTGTGAGCCGGTGGCTGGGACCTCCCAGCACAGGGAGAGGACGAGCCTGGAGCGCAGGCATAGCCCAAAGCCTGCGGCCAGGACTGCAGCTCCCTGTCTGCAATTCCCAGGAGGGACGGAGACCCCTGGGAGCCCCAGCCCTTGGCTGTCCCTGCCGTCGCTGGTGTCCCTGCCATCCCCTTTGCACCAGGACAGGGCCAGGTGGCGGCAGTCACTCAGGGGTGCTGTCAGCCTTCGCAGAGGGTCGTCCAGACCCTACAGGGCTGTTGCAGGCAGGGTCATATCAGCTCCTAGCTCTGCTCTCCACCTCAATAGGGTCATCACAGGGACCCCACATCGAGATACGCCCCTCTGCCTCCAAATGCCAAAACCTCCATATGCAAACCATCTATATAACTCGTCAGGGTAGAGCAGACCCACAGCACAGTCTTATGGGCCCCAGGGAAAGTACACTCTGAAAAATACACCCTTTAAATGTTGTGGTCCTACAGGCCATACCGTGGGGGAGAGCAGGCACCTGCGCTGCCTGTTCCCCACACCAACCCCCGTGTACCTGCAAATGACATGGAGGAAGGGAGATATAGCAGGGCACCAGTGGCCATCGGAGCAAGGCAAACAGTAAGCCTAATGATAAGGGAGGAGAGTACTGCTCATTGCTATGGTTTCTAGAAACACTCATAAAAACCAGTATTGCGGTGAAAGAGTGGCATGGAGTGAGGTTCACCTAAGTGGTGTTGTCAAACCATCCCTGCTCCAAGTCTCTCCTCCTGCTGAGCACCCCTTGCACAGCTGGAAGGAGCAAAATTGCTGAAGACTGCCCCCTCCCTTGTCTCTGATTTTTTTCTCTTTTATGATGTTTTATTTTAGGGAGCACTCAAAACTTGGGATTTATTTTGTTGGGCTCACATGCAAGTGGTGTTGGCCCAGTGACAGATTTCTGAAGTCAGCACTCATACTAACAGTTACCCCAAAAGGAAATTCCATTTAGAACAAAATACTCCCTTTAGGATGAAAACCTAATTTGTGCTGTTGGTTGCTGGTTCTTTGTTTTTAAGTGAAAAGGAAAAGAAAAAAATACCCACATCCTTTAAAAGTTCTGCAATATCAGAATACAAAGTTGCAGCCTGTTATTCACCCGCAGGGAGAAGGTCTGTATCAGCCATGGTAATTTCTCATTTCCTTGCTGGGAAGGAAGTGAGAGCACCACAGCTCAGCTAAAAGCCCTGTGGGACCGGAGGAGGGTGGTAAGGGAGGACATGGAGGCTGGAGAGGAGGAAGGAGCCCTCCAAGCCCCTTCTGGCCATGGGCACTTGCTGACCCTGAGCGCCCTACGCCGAGTTACCAAAATGTCTAGCTAGGTGCCGGCCTCAGGGAAAGAAACACGTTTACAGGGGAACTCCAGATAGTTTTCAAGGCTTTGCTATATAAACATATTAACGATATTAAAGTAATTCGCTGGCAGAAAGCAAAAAGCTTATTTCTTTCAGTGTGTTTGTTTTAAGATGCCAATCAAATGCTCTTTCCGCAGCAAAAACTCAGTGGTAGATTTGCCTTTGTGCACGCAGTTGGGATCGGGCCCAAGAGGTGACAGCTGACAGATAAGGAGTTAATTAATGTCCAGTAAGAGGCAGGAGGAACAAATGTTATCGGCAGTTTCACGTGACTCATGCGATGGGCTGATAATCTACTGAGAACAGCTACGGAGGTCTGAAAGCAGCGCGGTCCCCCACTCAGGATAACCGCTTTCCTTTCGTGCGTGGGCAACATTTCAGCCAATCTCACCCCCTGCACTGCGAGAAGAAAGCTGATGGAAAAATTGCTAATGACTTCACTGGACCAGGTGTAACGATGGACATTTGGGAGCACTGTCAATGTTGCACATAAGGAGAAAACTGTGTTTTTAAGTTTTAAATCTGATGTTTTCTCCCAGTGATGGATGTAAAGGCGTGATGCAAACTGCTGAGTGCTGGAACACAGTCCTCTTCTGCCTGCAGCTTAGTATCTCGTGAAATGAAGGATACACAAAATGTTTGGTTTACGAATCATGACTTTCAACAAGAAGTGTCATCAATATATTAAATCGGGATGGGCATAAATAAAGTATTAAAAAAGTTAAACAGCAGGAGAATGAGCTCTATTATTTTTTCCCTTGTAGACCAAAATTCTTCCTACAGGGTTCAAAATACTTTTCAACAAATAAATTACCTTCAAAACACAACCATGGAAGTTAAAAGTTCTTGCTTTGAACTTTGCCAAGGAAAGAGGCACAAAACAAACTCATATATAAAAATCAAAGGCATGAAGACTCAATTCTGTCAAAGATCAAAAAAGTGCATTGAATCCCTTTTCTGGTGAGGAACAGGAAGAATTCCCTGGTGGTTCTCCCATGGGAAAAGGGACGCTGCAGAGCACCACGGGGGCTGCGGCTGACCATGCCTGCTCCACAGGTGCCTCCTTTGGGGAGGGTGTGGAGCCAGTCCCACCAGCCCACTGCTTGTGTCCCCCTCCCTGGCACTGCTCTGCTTGTGTTCAAGCATTGGGAAGTAGCTAGAAGTTAAGAAATGTTACAGTAAATGGTAGAAAAAGATCCAAAAGGAAGACTAAAGCCTGACCGGGCTGTCCAAGTCCCAAGGCCCGGTGTCCTGACACAGCCCAAAGGCTGCGTTAGAGGTCACCTTTAAAACCAGGAGAAAAACAATTGTGAAATTAATAGGTCAAACGTGGTGCTTCAGAAGTTTGTTTCTGGTAAATCACGTGCCTGTGGTGTTGGATGGGTTGTGAAGCAATACCCTGCTCTGGGGACCAGGCAGAGGGGACAGGGGCAGCTCCCATCGTGGCCCCCAGGGGCAGGACCTGCAGGCTGGGAGGGGGTCTGCTCCAGGAGCCTGACCTTCCTCCTTGCGCAGGACCTCGAGTCCAAAATATTGGCTGGGGCACTCAGCTCTGACCCCTGGACGAGCACAGTGCCTGTGGGTCAGGCTGAGATCATACATAAACTCTCCTTTCCTCTCTTGAGTCTCTTTGTGCTGTTGCCTCTCTTGCTTTTTTGTTTGTTTGGGTTTTTTTCCCTGATCTTACCTTCTTTTCCTATTGCAAACTGGTGTAAATTGCCTCATGTGTGGAAACAAACAGCGGCCTCAGCCAGGCTCGGTATTTCACAGTCACACCTTCCACTTTCTGTGTTTACGTATTTCTTCAGGTCTGTAGCAGCAGTTCTCGGTCCCCCAGCACGGTTCGCCCTGTGGTCTCCTGAAGCTCGGAGGTGCCACACCTCCAACCCTCCTGCCTTACCCGTTTCAGAGTAAGCGTAACCAAAACCTTAAGGCCAGGGAAAAATTCAGGCAGAAAAGATACACTTGGATAGGAAATATATGTATATATTTTTCAGTAGTGGCAAAAACTTAAAGCTGCCCAGAAGTCTGAAATACTCTAATGGCAATGAAAGCAGCTGGGGTTGCCAGAGCCACCCAGCAGCATCCAATTAAGAGATTATGGGATCACGTAATAGATACGTATCTATAGGTATGTAATAGGTACAGGATCAATAGATCATGGGAGCCTAGAAAGTTATCTCAGGGATATCAAAATATGCACGGCAACATTTCCTAATTAAACAAAGGAAAACCCAACCTCTGGGTGAAACATTGGATGGAACAATGTTATCAGACCTCGCTGGGCAAACACGAGGAGCGTATAAAACGAGCTGCTCCGAGGGAGAGCGGCACCTCTCCTCCACCCGCCTTCCAAGAGCAATGGATCTCAAAGTGATCTGCGTGCTCTCCGTCGTCCTCATCATAGCCCTCAGCACCTTGGCAGAGGGAAAGACAGTACCAAGTAAGTACATTCATCTTCTGCTGCCTTCACAGGTATGTATGTGGGCCTGATCCTACTGACTGTAACTGCAGCAAGACGATGTCTCCAGTTTACGTATCAGACAGCGAATGTCTGGTTCTGGTACTATTACCAAAGTTGGAATCTACTTTTTAATTTTTTCAGAGAAATCTATGGCAAAATAAAAAAGACTGCAGATGGGCTCTTGTGTTGGTGGAATAAGCAGGAACCTGCTACAAAGGTAGAGGGACAGACATGTCCAGGAGCTTGCTAGAACAGGACCAGGACAGGAACAGGAGCTAGCTTTGTCTAAATAGTCTTCTGACATTAATTTTATGCTACTTTGCCACATGAATACCATTTTAAAGAAGTCTATCTGCCTCCTCAATAAAAAACAAGTCATTTAAGACTTTCCAATTAAGTCTTGGAATTTGCTTCCAATTAAGAATTGGAAAGCAAGTAACTCAATGGCAGACACCTAAGGACATCTCCAGAATTTCTTGGTTGCGGATGACTGTGCAATAGGCTTAAAATGTTAAAAGTATAGCTGCAACTATTTGCATGTAATCCTACATTTTTATAGTCACCTGACGATAATGCAAAGATTTTGTATTTTTACACCTGTTCGAATATCTGCTGGACCCTTAACTCTTTCTTTTTTTCACATGGGATGGGCAAAGCAACAGACATTTATTAGCATGACATTTTAAGTTATGGGGTTTTACCGTTTGATGTGGTCTATTTGAAGTCCAGAGACCCCACTGTGCTGGGCTGGCTCGGCTGCAAATGAGACCACAGATTCTCAAAGGGTGGAGTACAACCCTTACTGAAATCGGTGGGAGTTTAAAAGCAGCTTTTAAACCGCACGAGTTCTGGTCTTAGCAAGCGACACTTGCAAAGATGGACAGAGCCTAGGGGAAGATCATTGTTCCCAGTGGACATCTGATAAATGCACCTCTGCTAACGAGTGTGCAAACTGACACCCAGTAACTTGCTACTTCTGTCCTGAACAGCAAGATGCCAGTGTAAATTGCCCCCCAGGGAGCGGAAGAACTGCGGCTACCCGGGAATCTCAGCAGTGGAGTGCAGGAAAGCTGGGTGCTGCTTCAACACTTCAGTCCCCGGCGTTCCCTGGTGCTTTGCTCCTAAAGCAAAGAAAGGTAATATCTCTGCCAGAAACACCGATTTACCTAGTGTTTGATTATGCAAAAATGTGTACAACTGGGGAGCAGCTCTGCTTCTCTTCTTAGGCCAATGAAGTGGGCACAAGCCTCTATTAGAAGACCACTGGTAGTAAAATGCGAAGTCAAACCTTGCTTACCCATCAGTCTTTTGTCTCATCTCTTCACACTGTAATACATTTCCTCTTCCTTCAGGCTTCTAGTTATGAAATAACCCGTGCTCATTATTTAAAAACATTTCACTGCCATTTGTGGTCTTGTTCATCAGTAGAGCAAGGGATCCTCAGCACTTATTTAAGTTTCTATGTGGCTGAGGAGGACTTCAGCACTGCATGTCAAAGTCCTGAGTAGATTAGTCCCTCTGTAGTTTTTTGACACCTGTACAAAAGACCACAGGCATCCTGTAACTTCTGGGGTTTTCGCTCTTTTCTCCAGCCTGTTTTGATAATTGCTACTTCCCTCCTCTCCTGCCTCTTTCCCAGCATAATTCCTCTTGGTGTTTCTTTTTTTTCCTGTCATTTTTGCTCCCAGTCTTCATTCAATGAAATCTCCAAAATATCCCAGGAAAAATCCTTTTCTCCGTTAGATCCTTCCTTCTAAAGTCCTGCTTCTATTTTTTGCCTTCGTTTTCTCAAAGAGGGTAAGAGCTGCTCTCCCAGTCCTTCAAGGACCAGGTGTATTTTTTACATAACTGCTGAATGTAACCTACATTTGCTGGGCTGACCGCGCGACTCCTTCTTAGGAGAACTTGAGGGCAATCTCAGCAGTTGCAGAGGTGAAATGAAAGGAAGTCAGGGTGCAAGGCAACATTACCCAATAAAAGAACTTGATATGAATCAAGATTGGTCAACAGGGCTCAGAATTGTCAGAGGAAAAAAATAATTTTTCTTTTGAACATTGTTGCATCTCATGAAAATCTTGAAAAATGAATGGCAGCACCTTACAGTGTCATTTTCATAGAATTGCTTTTCTGAGCAGAACTGTTTCAGGAGAGGAAAACTGAATTATTCAGGCTGGGTGGTATAACCTCTTTACCTGTCATTCTACTTTAAATTGCCTGGATGAGCTGCAATTTCCTCCTAAATGACCTACCTCCTTTCCGTAACTCAAGTTGGCACGCAGAGGAGGCTGGGTTTTCCTGTCCCCGCATTAGCCAGGCTGCTTTGGGGTTAGCTTTGGGTCTGGTCATGAATATACCCTGGTCCGAGGCCAGTGTCTGTGGTACCATTACAGGAGACACGTGGCTTTTCACCCCATTGCTGGATCTAGGAAAAGTAAAGCTGGGTCGCTGCCTACCGGACACTTGTAGGGGCAAATTTAGCCCCTTCTGGCCCCTGGGGCACAGCAGCAATTCCTCACCCCCTGGTATTTAGTTTTGCCTAACAGGCGTGGTAAGGATTTGGGTGAACCTGCTGCCTGAAATTGGTATGGAGAAGGTCATCATGGCTGTCACGTCTGCTCACTGACCTCACCTTCGTGGTCTGCCTTTTATTTGTGAATTATGCCACCAGGAGCATAAAGTAACACGGCCTCCTTTCTTCCTTTGTTTTTGCTTTATGCAGTTGAGAAAGTATGTCCCAACGATCCTCACGCCAGGATAAACTGCGGCTTCCCCGGCATCACGGCTAAGGAGTGCGAAAGGAAGGGGTGCTGCTTCACGGCACATCCCGCTGGTGTCCCCTGGTGCTTCTACCACCGTGTGGTGGAGGAGGGTAATGTCCTGCACGAGGCAGCGTCCCCCGTGTCCCTGTGGACCCACCACGGCTCCCGGCAGGGTCCGTGCTGTGCCCGGGCTTGGTGTGCTGTGCCAGCCCGGCACGGCGGGAGGCCACGCTCGAGGGAGTGAGCAGGATGGGGTCTCCCCCCCCTTCCCGGTGTGGGTGCAGACCTTCCTCACCCAGGGCATGAGAGGGGAAGAGGTGGCTAAACCCTAAAAAGACCGTCTTCTTGCACAGACGGGTGGGTGTTGCCGACGCATCTGAGCCAGGGACTTGTGAGCAATGTGGCTGCACAGGTAGCCTGGGCTCAGGTGTGAGCTCAAGCCCGCAGCTAATGCGATGGTAGAGGTGCAGCTACCAAACTCACATCTACTTTACCACAAGAGAGAAAAGGCTTTCTTTTAGAAATGTGGAGAAATTTCTGATCCCCTGCTTCCATTTTTTTAGTTAGGGTTGACCTTTCAGCATATCTAACATATTGACCTTTCAGCATATCTAACGTAGATAAGCAATAGCCTCAGCCAATTCCAACCCACCCCACAGTGTATTTTGTACTGGAAACAATTCACCATAGTTTGTTTTTACTGACCTGAATCATAGCTAGGAAACAACATGTATGGATGCG